CAGGTAATCCGGTCTTTGTTGTATTGACGGATTAGGTGTGATCACATGAGCGTAGGCTGTGTTTAGGGAGGGTAGACTAGTCCATTTGTGTTCATGCTGCGATTATGATTTTAAGTCTTTATATTGATTATACTGCATGGTATTCCCACGTGAGCAAGTGTTCGCTCACCCCCACTATTATATCTCTTTTTCAGGCTGAGCTGGTGGTTGTGGCGAAGGACGAGCGAGGCGGGTCATATATATGCTAATGAACTGTTTTACTTGCTTCCGCTTTTATCTAGTATCTATCTCTTGTTAGTATGATTAATATTGTTTTCTTGGAAATTGAACCGTGTTTGATTTTGGAATTTGAAATTGGGATTCAATAGTGTTATGACTATCAGATTATTTTATATGTTTCAATATCGATTGAAGTACCTTGAATGTTAACATGAGATAAATTATGATCGGGATAGTTGTTTCCCCGTTTTGTTAAGTGTAACCTTAACAGTTGAGATGTGTAGTATTTGGAGTAGCGCCCGTTAAATAGATTTTTAATTTGATTTTCGAAAATTTAACTATGATCTTTGGAAAAATTATTCGGTATTTTCCTATTAAAATAACGGGGCGTTACAGGCACGGCATATAAATTTATTGTTGTAGCTATCAACAATACAAGCCAATGATACGCATCTTATCAAATATACAAGCAAACTTAAGTAATTTGAGAAAACTTGTATATTGATTCAATCTTGGTGACATTCTGGTTACATAATTTTATCAGGGTATATTGAATATGCAGAGTTGATCTAAAATCAAAAGATCATAAATTCATCCAAAAATCACTGTATTATTTACTAGATCAATCTTTCAAGGATATTGGCTGGATAGTTTTTATGCGATTATTATACTGGTCAACCGGACCAATCCTTTAAGGATATCCAAATCTAGGTCAATAAGGTATTCAAATTCACTAGTGATACTTTTAATTATATAATCCTTCAGGGAAACTCAAATCTATAAGCATAAAATTCAACAGGATATTGTTCTGCAATTCATGATAAGATTAAAAAATAACTATACAAGTTGCATACTATTCATTTGGTTCATTAGTCAAAATAGACTAAAGTTCAAGATATTCAAATTGATTTAGGCTCAATAAATTTGGATCACGTCCATACTCAATGCATAAAACAACGAAACTAAATATGCAACTATAATTTCCAAACTAAATTCATGTGTAATTACTTAACCATATATGCCCCAAACAACATCAACAATTCACATTTTAAAATAAATCCACATATGTTTCATGCGTATTCAGATGCATGGACAAATAATAAAATATGTGGGTATTTTTATCTTATAACTCTTCAGGAGTATAATAATTGAAGTATGAGAGCTTTCATTTTATAAGTTAATATAATATTTTTCCTTCATCATCAAAAATAATCTTTATCTAACGGATAATGTCTACTGGACATATCTTACGTGTGTTACCACCTCCAAATCTTAACAAGTAATGTCAAGAATAATATGATACACGTCAAAAAAAAAAGATGCTCATATAAGACAATTAAACCAATGAAACATATAGTCATATAGAAGAGAGAAAAATTTCTATCAAATATCTCATATGACAAATTATACTTTTGTACATGTGCTTCTGGCACTAATACAATCTCAAATAACTTATTTTATATCAAGTTTCTTAACATATTGTGTCCATGAGTATTAATTTGGTTGTATTTTATTATGCTCATGTATTACTTTCGGAATACAAAATGTTCATAACAAATCATCAAATATTCGATAGCATCTTAAATCAAAATTAGTCATCATGACTTATTCATAGTGTAACCATTAATCTTTTATTTCGATACTTGTATCAGTGTTGATCCTTCAAGGAGTATATCAAAACTTTATTGTATATTTATGGGAGATACTTACATCGATGTTGATCCATCGGGGAGTATATGAAAACATTATTGTTAACTTGTAAAAGATCTTTCATGGAGTGTATAAGAACTTCATTGTCAACTATCAGGCTATTGATAAATGAAACATTGAATCTCATCTTATATGCAACTAATACATTGTCCTAATCATTCTATCCATCAATGTTTAATATTAGTGTCCTTCTGCGACAAGTAGTATTCAATTGAATCTTATACATTTGGATAGATAGATATTCGTTAATAATACTGCACTATTTCATAATTGCACAGTTCTATCTTTTCATCCAACCATATTACAAAGATGATCATAAATTGAGCTATGCAGCATCAATAATTTATATCCATTATTTCAACCATTTTTTTATATAATCTTCCTCTCATATACAATAGACATACTTATAATATCACATAAATTTTTATAGTACTAAAAACATTAAACAAAAATACTTTTCAAATTTTCAAATCAGTGAAACTATAATCTCGCAGATTATATAATACATCCTCCAGTCCATATATATATATTTTTTTTAACAACCATATAATAATTCAATAATGACCAATCATTAGAAAACTAATTCAACCATTTTCTTTTAATGTCATATAATAATTAAATATAGTGTTAAAACAAACTTAACACCTTCGGCTTTCAACAATTTAAACTATTTCATGCTCAAATCCCTATTAAAATCCTCAAAACACATTCATAATTCACATTAAAGAGATGAACAACAATTGATGCGCCCATGTTGCAGTTTGAACAGACATAAATCAATCATGCGTGGCACAACAAAGCAACAGAAAATTGAATTTCTTATTACTATGGATCAAGGCATCATTAGAGAATATAATTCAAAGCCTTATCATAAAACATGTCGGGAGAAATAATTCCTCAACAATTAACATGACTAACTAATCCACTAATTTGAAACTAGTAGTTAATATATTTGCGAACTTCCCCATTATCATTGTAATAAAACATGAACATATATTGGACATATGATAATTAATATATCATCAATATCATATAACAGAATAGATCAAACAGGTAATTCATGAACAGATCTTGATCTATACAACACGGTAACTATACATTTATTTATTTATTCACAACACATGTTTTGATATCACATGTTAACTACATTAAGGATCTGGAATAAATAATTTAGTGTATACGAAACACTTACTTGATGCGAAAGACTATATAATTATGATCTTGATGATCTCTTTTCTAGGACATACATCGATTCTTGATTGTTACCTTGATTTTCCGTTCGTCTTGATGCCGCCATCGTTCGCTTAGATGGTAGAGTACTCGTGCTGATAACGTGTTGTAAATAGACAAAGAGAGAGAAAGCAGTAGAAGAGAATAAGAGTACACCGTCAAAAACCATCTTATTCATTAACTTGAGCGCTATATATAAGGGAATAAAATATAAATGACTAAAGACCTAATGAGCTCCTGGCCCATACCTACAAATCTTATATTTAGGTAGTGTCCACAAATTAATATTTACAATAATTCCCAATAGATTTGTAATGAATAAAATCATGGATTATGAAAGGAATGAATAAACTCATAATTATGAGAATAGTGTTTTTAAGGTAATGACCATTCCTTAACAGCAAAACATACCAAGTATAGGAATAGGAATCAATTAAGGAATGATCATTCCATTCATGCTCCATTCTCATATACTAATCATGACATTAATATTCCTCATTGCTTTAATTTGCATAACTTACATTATTGTCTCGTGCACACGTAATACGTACTAGTTATTTAATATAGCTTACCCGTGCATCGCACGGAATACGTGTGAATATAGATAAACTAGTACAACACCCGTGTATTACACGGGTGCTTGCTAATTTTTTTCTTAAAATTTAAAATTTATGAGAAAAAGTAGTTTGAAAATTTAAATACCTTTTATAAGAATAT